CCAGACAAACATGGCTGAGGATAACTTGACTAAGACTGAGGCTTTGTCCAAGCACTTTAGTCAAGTATTCTCTGATAATATTGATACCAGCTTTGTTACTTTTCCAGAAGGTAACTTGAAAATGGCACCCTTATACACTGGAAAAGATACTGTCCTAAGGTGGCTTCTAAGGCTCAATCCTGGTAAGTCCAGTGGCCCTGATGAACTCCACCCACGTATATTAACAGCACTGGCTGAAAACATAGCCGAGCCATTGTCGGTAATCTTCAATATGTCTCTAGACCAGTCTAAATGTCCAAGAGACTGGAAAGATGCCATCATTAGTCCGGTCTTCAAAACCGGATCTAGAAACTTAGTTCAGAACTATCGTCCTGTTAGTTTGACCAGTATTGTTGTTAAACTACTAGAAAGAATAATTCGTGATGCTATCATTCAGTTAATTGAAGGGAACAAACTTTTCGCTGTGGAACAGCATGGTTTTAGAGCAGGTCATTCTTGCTTGACCAACCTTCTTTTGGCCAGAGAAAGTTGGGCAAGCTCAGCTGATGCTAATATACCGGTGGATGCCATATTCATCGACCTTAGCAAGGCGTTTGACAGGGTTTCTCATTCAGGTCTTCTGGTAAAGTTAGGTAGTATGGGAATCAATAAAGTGGTTGCCGACTGAATTCAAGACTTTCTAAAGGACAGAAGACAAAGAGTACGAGTTAACGGGGTTTTATCAACATGGCAATCGGTTAAGAGTGGCGTTCCTCAGGGTACAATTCTAGACCCACTTCTTTTCCCGATTTATGTTAATGAGATTCCATCGGTAGTTAGGTCATCCTGCTTACTGTTTGCTGATGACATCAAGATATGGAGGGCTTTACACGATGACAGTGATCAACTTGCTTTGCAGGAAGATTTAAACTTGTCAGGTGATTGGGCCTTGGAGATTAACTTAAGCAAGAGTGTAGTTATGCATGTATCTCATAGCCACGTGCAAAATTACTCAGTGAATGGAATTACTGTCCCATTGGTCAGTGAGTTCAAGGACTTAGGAGTGGTTGTGCAACATGACTTGAAAACCGCAACAAACTGCAGAGCTGCAGCCACTAAGGGTTTTCGAATATTATGGGCCATACGCAAGGCTTTTGCGAACTTTGATGCTGATATATTTCGTATATTATATCCGACTTATATCAGACATCCTTTGGAATATGGGATCTAGGCAGCGAGCCCGTGTTTCAAATACGAAATAGACTTATTAGAGAGGGTGCAAAGAGTAGGAACTAAGCTAATAAAGGGTTTCTCAACCCTCTCATATGAGGAGAGGTTAAGTCGACTGGGTTTATTTCCACTGTCATACAGACGACTTAGGGGTGACCTAATACTAGCATACCGTATCCTAAGAAATGATTTTGGAGCTAACTTATCTAATTTATTTCTTCCTTCTAGCACCAACCAATTGCGAGGACATCACCTGAAGGTTCGAAAACCACGGCCGAATCGTCTGCGTCTGGAGATCCGTTTTTCGCATCGAATTGCGAACCATTGGTACTCCCTACCAGAACACGTCGCATCAGCGCCATCCGTTGATTCATTCAAGGCGAGATTGGGCTTGCTGTGTGCTGCAAATCGAAAGGATTAACACAGGCATATAGCCTACTATCCTAAATAAATTGTAAGGTGTAAACTGAGTTTGTTACAGTTAGACCAGTCTGTGGTATATTAAGTCAATCTACAACCACCGAATTCTACACAGTGGCTGCCAGTAAGTACAAAACCTGAACACGGATTTGTATTGAATTTGATGCTCCAAAATTAGTATGATTTCTCTCTCACGTAAGCCAAATTTGACGTTCCTGTAAATAATCCGCATAACTACACGCAACTTTTGTTAAAGCTGATTTAGCATATTCTTACTGTGCAATTTTTACAGTAATCCATTTGCACTGTGTAAGTGAATATTCGTTTTGCCCAAATGTCTTTTGGTTGCGCGGTTAACCACAGTTTGTTTGTCCGCACACTTTTAAATTTGAGCTTGTTCGTGAGGTCAGGTGAGGTGAGATGAGAAGGATTGGTTTGGGTTGAGTTGAAGTGGTTTAAGGTTTAGTGCGCGTGATTGTCGTGTATTTCTGCGATTGAAGGATTTGTATGAGATGAAGTGAATAGAGAGCACGGCATAGTTAAACTACTATTGCCTAAACCATATTGACCCTGAACAACCAGTCAGAATCCAGATGCAATAATGTCACACAAGGGTTTGAAACCACAGTAAGAAATATTGCAAACTTGATAACACACTGTTTATTTGTAGCTCATGCGTTTCAAGAATGTCTTCCCGTTACAACACATCTGCAGATGATCTATAGAGGAGTCGTACCATGCACTATATACCCGTTCATCCAAGTGACTGTACTATGAGACGCACCGATATTTATGACACTATTCTGCAACTTACTTCTTATTGTAACCATAATCCTAACTCCTAATTCCAACTTTAACCCTAAACCATAATCTAAAAGGACACAACCCTACGTAACAGTATGGATTTAAAGAGAAGGTACCTAGAGAATAAGTGGAATACTGCACCTGCCTTCTCCAAGTCCAAAAGAGCAGGCGTGATTTAAGTTACGTTGACATTTCGTAGCATTTCGTGTATCTGACTGGTTTTCGAAGGTCAACTTGTGAAAGGCCTTGGCTCTGGCTATGATACTATAATTTCTCCCTTAAGACATTGAATTCGTGTATTTCGGGGTAATTTCGGGCAGGGACAAATAATGCCTGCCAACACAATTCCTTCCAAACATCAGCGTTGCCTTTCTACTTGGATTGATTCGCGCGTTTAGAATACAAGGGCGTGATCAGGCAAAAGATAACTATAAAATGTACCGAAGGATGAGGATGTAAATAGGATTATAAGTTCGACTAGGTTTACGGTTTGAGTGCCTGTAATTTTGCTCGTTGGACGTTTCTTTGAGCTTAGTAGGCTGATGCTGAATATATGTACAGAGACTGAAAGCTTCAGATTCTTTTTGTTTGAGCAAAGGAGCCTTCAGAATAAAATCACTGCTTATGGAAGACAGCCATACTCTGAGCCTCTACCTCAGTTACGAGACTTCTCTCTCTATCATTCCACTTTTTATTGTGCCAAACGAATGAGAACTCTACAATTGTGTTCGTCGCAGTTCTCACGACCTCACAAATTTTGTGTGTGTAGTATTAAGTAGTATAGGATGGTCGGAATTCTTGTGTTGGCGGCGAATGACTTAGATGATTCGCAGTGTATTGTGAGCCGCTTATTGTTAGTGGTATGTGAAAGTGTAGTGGGTTCTAGTTTGTGAGGAACCACAACCTGTGAATTTTCGGAAGTGAATAGTAATTCCGAGATGTTGGTGAATATTTATAGCTCAGGAGGTTGACTTTGTTTTTGCCCACTTTCTATGTGGCGAAAGAGTTAGTCTATGTCTAGTACATCTTCCGTGAACATATTATTGTACAGAAAGGTATAAAAGTGGCTTCTCTGTTAAAGTGCATTTCCTAGTGAATTTTGTTGTCACGAACTGAGAATAGAGAATTAATTAACTTGGTAAGCAGCAGATAGGAACTCGAACCCACAACGCATTCGCCACAACTGGAGTGTTTAGACGAATGAACGAGAGTGGAATTAAATTGTTTGTTCTCAAAAAATTGTGTCGATTCATTGTCCCATAAAGCAATGAAGATGTAGCTTATCAGCATTGGTACTAAGATTGGAGCCACTTAGTTTCAGATTCGAGTTCCTCTTCGCCTAATTCATGCTGGGAAACTGGGTAGGTAGCATCACTTATCGTCCTTCAGACAGTAGGTGTTTGTGCTGATGGCCTGAAAGATGGAAAACGTTTTCTGCAGATTGACTCAGAGAAGCACTGCCATGTGAGAAAACAACTCTACGATAACATTCTTCTCTGATCACAACTTTTGATGTCAGTCGTGCAAATAATGAGTTACTGTTGTGATGGTATTTGTTGCTGCGCATATGGGCACTAGAATATGAAAGGATCAAATGTAGCTATTTAGGCGAGTGGGAACCATTGCAGGTAGGTGCTGATGCTAGTCGACTGCCTTGAGGGTGAGACTTCAAGTGAAAGGCTCGGCTAAAACGCCTGTTTCAGTCTTAATATCCGCGAATTATTCCAGTCGTCCCAGAAGTTATGAGAGACTATGTATGGTACACCTCTTTGTGTCCATGATGTACCATATTTGTGATGTAATGCTGAGTGTCGTCTGTGTAAATTTGTATTATTGTTTAAAACGATTAAATTTTCAAAATGCAGATATTGTCCTCATGAGGGTGCATATTTCCCACATACTCTCTAATTTGTTAACTTCATGCCCACTCTCTTCCTTGTTTCTTGTTATTTACTTCAGAAATTATGGCTGTTGTGGAGATAGTGAGATGCATCTCTCTAGTGATTGGTAAACCTGTTGATCCAGTCAGGCTGTTCGATAATGGTAAATCGTGAATAATCACATGTGTATTTATGATTGATGACAATGAGAACAGGTGATTACATGGATGATATACTCTCACAACTTCTTTGTCTCTTCTACGATATGAAGCTGAAGAATCCTTTGAAGCACGAATTTATCACATTGGTGATGGCAACAGCCAGCAGTTTAGGATTTGAGAAACATTTTACTTTGGATGATTTTAGTGAGCAGAGAGAACGGAGTAAATGGGTACCCTTTCTCTCGGTTTTCGTCTCGTGGTTCGATTGTGACTTTAACGAAGTTCGCGAGGTGAGTATACACACAATTTGTGTTGAATGAAGCTACTCATTTAATTTTCTTTTCCAAAGGTGGTTGAGTCAGCCAGAAAAAGGAGAGATGTGTATAAGGAATTGTTGGAATCGAATAGAACTCGCGAGTGTGAATGACAGCGTCTGCAAGAAGCAGAATGTGAGAGGCTTGAGAGAATCAAAGGTCTCAAGGCAGAACTGTGCCGCTTGAAGTCATGCTGTGCTGAGAAGAGTGCTATGGTTGCATCTAGAGAAGATCTTTACCGATCGTTGGTTTCTTCGTGTGAAGAGAAAAAGCTACAGGTATGTTTCCTTTTCTCGCATATGGAAGTTTGGTATTAGTCGATGTGATTTGATTATAAGATGAACTGGAAGTGAGAAGGGGACAGTTTGTCGAGACATATCCTGCCTACAGGTGATGACAGGGAATTTCGTTAGTTAATCACATCAACTGACTCTACGTGTGTTGTGAATGGTTTCTGCGAACTGATGTAACTAAAGTGTTCCTTATCTCTTTCTCTCTCGCACTCTCTCTCGATGTTTCTATATATTGATTATTTTGAAGACGATTGATTTCAAGCGTGCATCGCCTGTCAGTGACGTAACTAGCAATAACACTTGGAAACACTTTTTTCACTTTTCATGTAAGGACTGCTAGTGATATGTTGGGAAGGAATTGCTAAATTTCAGTTGAAGTTGACGACATTAGCGTTTCACGTTACAATGTGGAATGAATCTCGTACCTTTGATTCGTTTTTCCATTCTTGTTCATGCTGTATTGAGGTTATTGCTGTAGGCTGTTTTGTCCAGGCGTTGTTTTGATGTGCTACATTCTCTAGATGGCTTGTAAAAATGATAGTTCACTTTGTTCAGACTGAGATGAGTGACCAGGTGGGCGTAGACTACGAAAGGGAATTTAAATGAGTGTGTATATGTGAAGTTTTTGTTTGTTGTCACAAATCCCTTGTTAGTCAAATAGTGCACAGCACACATGGATGAATATCCACGGGGAGATGCAGTTGTGAAGAGTGGATTTTGTTCTACTGTAGAGGTCAAGACTATTCGTGAGACGATTTGATTTTGATTATCTCAGGTGGAATTTAACCGAACAGTTATTTATGTTTAAGTCTTATGTGACTGAGTGGTACAGTAGTAATTGATGGCCTGATCTTTGAATGTAATAAATATTTGTACTATCTGACATATAGTTTTGAGATATTGAAAGTTGCAGTTTGTGACTGTGGGACTGTGAGATTAGACGGAGGTAAGCATGGTTTCTAATCCTGTCTGAGTGATGAGTAACAGTCGGAAAGAAAGAAAGAAATGTAGGAAGGGAGGAGAAAGATTGTAACGACAGTGTATGAATGAATAGAAAATGACGAAGCTGCATAATAAGTATATGGTTTCTGAGGTGATGGAAGCGTGCAGAGATACCTGGTACTTGCATCCATCCATCTATCCCTGTTGGCTGAGACCTAACATAGAAGTTGGCGCAGAAGTGCAGCAGTTCGAGTCTCCACATTCCATGTAGCACACGAAGGTGTGGAGGAAAGAGAGGAAGAATTGATTCAGAAGTACTATGATAAATAGAAATGTGATGAAGAATGAATAGAAACATGGAAAAACATTAGGTTTTTTCATGGATGGGGGAAATGCCAAGAAGTCAATGCATCTCTGCCATTGAGAAAGATTTTGTAGCCATATCTGCCATAGTTTGCATCCATTGGTGATTGTTCCTTAGAGTTGTGAGGACCCCGGTCAGGGAGTGTACGCCTTCCTACATGGTTTAAACTCTGTGTGAGCGATTTCATTGACTGACTGAATGATGTCAGCTTTTGGTTTGACCATCTGTTACTGCTTCCTAACCTAATCGTTTGTCGGCTAACATTGTATGTCGATGGTGGCGTGGATTCGCATGGGTAACAGATGCTGTAGCTGTTTCAATCGATCCAGCTTCACAACGTGATTGTTTGTTTTGCCCAATTGTCTTTACCCAATACACTCCATATGACCTCGATATTGCTTACCATATTATACCACTTAAGACGGTGGGGAAGAAGCAGACACCTGTGATGAAAGACAGCTGGCATTTTAATGTCTTGTGATTTCAACGACCATGTGTGACAGCCGTAAGTGAAGTGTTCGACACACTCTACCACTTCACTTCCCTCTGTCTTTAAGCTAGGAGTTGTTGCAGCTGAGTCGTGCAGGATCATCGTACATTTGACAGGATGGAATAGCATGGGTCCATCTGGGTCCACGACCGCCTATAATCTCCTCCATGTCAACCCAGGACGACCCACTCGTTGCTTCTCATTGGGATTCCACTCGAGGGCCTGGCGCTCGACGTCATTCTACGGTTTCCTTAATGTGTTCCCGATCCATCTCCACTTTCTCCTACATATTTGTTGAGAAGTCTGCTCTTGGTTGGTTTGTACCCAGCCAGAGTTTCTTGTTACTTATTCTTTCTGGCCGGCCATTTGATCTTCAGTATAGAGCGAAGGCAGCTGTTGATGACGCAACCTGTTGGAAATCCTTTTCGTGACACGCAGTGCAAGTTTCTGATCCGTATAGAAGGACTGATTTCACATTGGTGTTGAAAATGCGAATCTTGTTCCCTATGCTGCTGAGGCGGAGTGCAGGAGATTTCCAAACTGGTTTCAGGTTGATGAAGGCGTGTCTTGCCTTTCCGATTCCGACTTTGAAATGCGTACGTTCGGCCGGTAGTTGAAACGATGTTTCCTGTTTAGATGAGTGAAGGAAGTAACCTCTGTGAAATCTCTCCCGTTGATGGTGATTGGTGCTTGTTGTTGTTACTGTTGATTGGTTATATTCACCACCTCCGTCTTCTCTGTGTTCACCTGCAGTCCTGTTTTCGCTGCCAGTGTCTTCAGCCAGTTTGTTGGTTTTCGCTTGCAAGTCTTCAAGTTTGTGTGACAGACATATATCATCCGAAAGCGAAATCCAGATCTTCTAGTGTCTTCTTATCGGTCGTCCAGCGTATTGCTGACTCCTCGCCTCCAACAGTCTGCCACATAATCAAGTCAGTCCACCACAATTAAGAATATCATTAGTGATAATAGGGTAGCCTTGTCTGACTTCTGTATGTACTTCGAACGTCTCTCTGAGTTTTCCGTTGTGGATCACTTGACAGATGGTATTGTCACATAGCTGTAGAATGAGGTTGACGAAGACTCAAAGTACACCGTAGTGTTGTAGTAGTTTCCAAACTACTTCTTGGTCAACGCCGTCTGGTGAAGGCCTTTTCGAAGTCGAGGAAGTTGAGGTGGAGATTTGACTGCCATTCTATGCTTTGTTCAATGACGATGCGTAGAGTGTAATTTGATCAGCACATGGCTTGCTTTTCCTGAATCCAGTGCATCCTTTATTCTCTCCAAGATGATGCGACTTAGTATTTTACTTGGCGTGGACAAGAGCATTATTCCACGCCAGTTCTTGCACAGTGAGGCCTAAGTCGCCTTTCTTTGGCAGTTTGACGAGGTAGCACTTCTTCCAATCAGTTGGCAACTCCCCTTCTTTCCCAACTTTTTGCAGTAATGTGGTGAGAACACTTGCCGTAATCTCTGGTGCCGTCTTCAGTGCTTCAGGAGGAATTCCGCCTGGTCCTGCTGCCTTCCCCGACTTCAGTAGCTTGATCGCATTCAGGATTTCTTTTTTCGTCGCAGGAGTGGTGTCCACTGTCAGGCCTTTCCGTGTGTGCTGTTGGTGGTATTTCTGGGCGAGTTGCCGGTGGTGGTCGATTCAAGAGTGATCAGCCCATTGTTTGATTTGTTTCTCCCTGGTGATCAGGTCCCCTTGAGCATCTTTTATTTGTTTTTATCATCTGGGTTGATCTCTTCCCGGATGGCGAGCAGCGTGGTTATATGATATGATATGTCCTGATGTCTCTTTTGCCTGCGGCCTGTTATCTTCAGTTACCAGTGTGTCGTAGAATTGTTTTTTGTCTTCCCTAGCACTCTTCAGTACAGTGGACATTAAACTCAGCTTCTCCTTCTGTTGTTCATCTTTGCATTGAGTTATCTCTCCCACCATCCTCCTCTCCTCGACTAACTTCCAGGTAGACGTCCGTTGACAGCCATTCCTAATCGTGTCTCTTCTTTCTTCCTAAAACAGTTGTACACATTTCCTTGAATATCGCTTTCAGAGAGTTCCAGTGTTCTTCCATACAGGTTCCCTCGGTGATAACACGTAGAGTCTCCAACTTTGCTCTGATCAGATCTGTAGTGAAGGTATCCCTTGTAGCTTTCTCCTTCAGTTACTGAATGTTGAAATTGAATTGTGGTCTGTCTCCTTTTGTTTTCATGGATCTCAGCTTCACCTTGAAGGTTCCTTGAACTAGATAATGGTCTGAGCCCACATCTCCCCTTCTCAACTTTGTATCCAGCAGCCTGCGTCTCCACTTCCTTGAGATTGATATGAAATCTATTTGGTTTGTAGTATGTCCGTCAGGTGAAATCCATGTTGCCTTGTGTTTGTACACGCTCCTTGCGATCACCAAATCGTTGAAAGAGCAGAAGTCTGCGGATAATTCTCCGTTCTCATTCATTTCTCCGAGTGAGAGCCTGTCGACCCATGATGAGTTCTCTTCCTGTATTATCTGCTCCCAGTCCGGTTTGCATTCATATCGCCCATAAGGATTTTGATGTCACCATTTGGGATGTTATCCATTACTGTTTGTAGTTGTCTGTAAAAGTCCTCTTTCTTTCCATGTTCTGCATTGTTTGTAGCAGTGTGCATAGCATTGGATAATTGTTACCTTCCTTCCTTCCTTTTGAGTCGAATCTCGCTGTCATGATCCTGGATGATGTTAGTTCCCAGAGTCAATTAGGGTTTTGGCTGCCACTGGTGACATCATGATAGCCACTCCCTCAGTGTGTTCGTGATTGTCGTCTGGATGACCGGAATAGATTAGTGGCTCTCCCATTGAAAATGCTATCAATCCACATACATTCTATCTGCTTTCTCAGATACCCAGTAATTCTAAGCCATATCTTATCATCTCTTCGGCTGCCTGGGCAGCCTTCCCAGTCTCGTACATTGTACGGACATTCCACGTCGCCATTCTTACTCTTGCCTTCATTGAGAGAAGACACATCAGCTGACTGGCTTCCCAAATGCTTCCACCAGCCAGCGCACTGTGTCATTTCGCCTCTCCGATTCGAGCGGAGAATAAGATATTAATATTTTGAAGTTTTTTGTATTTTTAATATATTTTCTGTATGTTGAAGTTTCTCTAGCGGTTTTAAAGATTTAGTGGTGTGGGGTTGCTAGTCCCACTCCCAGCCCCCCCTCTTTACCCGGGCTTGGGACCGGCTATAAAACTGGTGAGCTAGTTAGCCAGGCGAGGTTTTATCTCCACATGCATAAACCTTATTATCAATATTTTGTTATCATTATAATCATCATTATAAGTGATGCTCAAAACATTCACCACATTATTGTTACTACTATTATTACTATCATTATTATTATTATAATTATTTGATTCACAAAATCTAAGTAAATTAGAGTAAAGCCTGAAGAAGTTCTAATTGAAAACAGGAATATTGTTCGCTTACATGTCTTGTTCGAATTAAAGGCTGACGTCTTCTAATTGATGACTGTTGGTTTGACTCCCCACATAAGGTGTGTCAGCAGTGGGTGATGGTGGGTGGACCGATTTAAACTGCCCATTTGTGAAGTAGTTGCGATGCTAAGTAAGAAACAATAGCTGGAGACTGTTAGTCATATGTCTGAAGATGATTGTGAATGACCCACCCACCCTTATGTATTCACTGTTTCTAATCTCTCTGTCTGTCTGTGTCTCTCTCCGTATCGCAAACTCATTCAGTCCTCATGTTCCTCCCAGACACATTTCTGCTCCTTATGAATAATAGGTCATTTGAGTGTTTTCTTTCCTCTACACCTGTGTTGTTGTTGTGTGGTATATTGATGAGTGTGTGTCAAGCAACTTGAACCACTGCTACTGCTACTGCTACACACGCACTTTTCTGCACACAAAGTCCCACACATTGGAAACTCAATCAGTCAATAGTCTTCTTCTTCTTTTTCGACATAGAACCTTGCACATATGTGCGGCAGCTCAAGTCGCCATACTTCACTCAGCACACAAAGCAAGAGAAGAAAGTAGGAGCAATGCATATTAGAAACAGTAAACAGAGGAATAGTAATAACGAAGAACAAAACAGTTTCATTGGAAATCATAAGTCATAAGGAGTGGATACATCTGCGCCAGCCACTGAGAACGAGTTTGAGCCATGTCGCGAATTGTCCCCAGCCTCCATTGGTTTTTACCATCTCGAGGACCCCGACCAGGAAGTCTACACCTTTCTAAGTGGTTTAAGCTAACTGTTGTAGATTTCATTGACTGATGGAGCCAGGTTTTGGTTTGATCGCCGCTAGCAGTTTTCCAGCCTGACCCTATGTCAGCTAACATTGCCCATTGTCGAGGAAGGCGATGACTAGGCATATGTAACACATGTCCTAACCATCTCAGTCCATGTAATTTCACAGTCTCGTCGACTGATTTCCCCTCCTTACCTAGCACTCGACGCCTAACCTCAATATTGCTCACCTTATTATACCACTTCACACGGGAGATAGAACGCAGACACCTATGATCGAAGACAGCTAATCTTTTCATGTCTTCCTCTCTCAATGGCCAGGTCTCACAGCCATAAGGGAGGACGGAGCGAATTGCTGAGCAGTACACCCGCCCTTTGGTCGATAGTCGGATATCACGTCTACGCCAGAGACGGCGTAAACTGGCATAAGCGAAACTAGCTCTCTGAATTCGTACTAAGATTTCGTCAGAGATCAACCCGTTGGGGCTGGCTGATGGTACTTCCCAAGTAAGTGAAGCGGTCAACGTGCTCTACCACTTCACTTCCTATTTCTAATCTAGGGGTCGGTGTTCAGTCAATAGTCGTCGTGTTGTCAACTGATTGATATTTGCTCCAATTTTTTATTTCTAATTTTTAGATAGAATCATATAAAAATAAACTTCAACGTGTCAATGAAGATTGTGAAACTGTACAATGTTCATTGATAGACAATTGTGAGCTATTACCAAAATTAATATCAGATGTAGAAAGTCAATTGTATGCAGTTGAATCAGATATTCATCGAGAATTTGAAGCATTCAATCGTGCTGTGGATAGCTTATCAATGCTTCAAAAATATGAACATTTAATAACTACAGAGTTGAAACCAACATTTGATCAAGTGTATGCCTTAATGGAGAAATTAGTGGAAGTTACAAATAACGAGAAAGTAAGCAAGTTGATGATTTGAGTGTGTGTGTTTATTATTGTTTTTGATTTGATTTGATTTCAGTGTAGAGAAAAAGAAGTGGAGGGGGGATCGGGAGGGAGCGAGGGCTTGAATGAACAGGACAATCTCCATTTTCAATCCTGTTATCTTTATAGTCGTCCTCATATGATTCGATAAGTATGCATGTGTTTTTTCATTTCTTTGTGGCACGATACCTCCTCCTCCACTTCACACTCTCGGTCACACGTCGAACTCGTCGTTTTAGCCATTCGGTGGATGAGAGAGCCTCCTTTGTTGTATTCCGAGTGAAAATATAGCATGGTTAGAAGCTTTGGAGGTTTCTGTAGCTGTGGTGTTGTTTTGTTTGGCACTGTGAAGTGAAGAACCAATCACTTGGATGTCCACCATACAGTTGGCTGGTGATAGGGTAGGGTAGGGTAGGGTTGGGATTTGTGTGGCTCTCAGTTGTTTGGTAGTCGAGTTAGTAAAGAAGTAGTAGACTGAAACCTAATAGAAAAATCGAACAATTAAAAGTTTGACTCACGTAGTATGAATGCATTTGACTGTGAGAGCAATGTTCGAGGAGAATGAAGATGCGTAATTGATGTTATGTTATGTGATGTGATGTGGTGATAGATTGCATCAATTAGAGTAATTTTATTTCCATATCCTGCCTGATTTGCCAGGGAAATTGTTTTGAATGTGAAAATTTAGTGTGTGTTTAAGTGAAATCCCGACTGAAGGACTAATGAATCACACGAGACTGACATTTTGTAAGCGTTATGGAGTAGTCGTTGAGTTTTTTAAAGGTCTAAAGGTCGACAATGATGACTATGCTGTGATATAAAGACACAATCAGCCAAATTGAATTAAAATGTTTTTATTTCTCACTCACTAACTCCATGAGTCCCAAATTAGAAGATGGAACTTGAGGCATTTGAAGACTCGGCAGGTGTGTTGTTCTTCCACGGGCTGGTAGGGTTGCTAGTGTTACTTCCAACCTTTCGTGTTTTCTGAGTTTACTGGCGAGTGGTAAACGAAGTGTTTTGGAGCGTGTCTCTCAGGAATCGAACACCTAGGCCTCGCGTAGCTGTCGTGTTAATACGTTGAGGTGGTTGTGTGACCTGACTACCTTGTTTAACCGCTTGACTTTCAACTAGTGAATCTCGGGCTGGAATACAGTCGTACTTATTATTTTGACCTGAGCAAGTGAGTAGTGTATGACAAGCAGCGTTCACACGCACACACGAGGTGTGGAGCTGATAATCGAATGAGTAAGAAAAATCTGCTACTGCGGGAAATCAGAGTTTCATTAAGCTATATGGTGCTGACATTGTCATCTCTAGGTGTGTGTGTGTGTTGTTGACGGTGTGATTTGTACTTGAACAAGTCTGCAGTCTGCTATTCTTCCAACATTCTAGCTGCGATTGCGTACATTGAAGAGTTGGTGCAGTTAAAAGGCGTTTAGATGGACCTGGTTATTGGGGGTCGCATGCTGGTGCGCTTGTTAACGGTTTCGCCGACTATCATGAGTAGTAGTGTTCGACTTGATGCAGTGTCTGTGTACAGGCTTTCAGTTGTGCCTGTGTAAGCGGGTGGGTTGGTGGGTGATGATGATGGAGATGAGTGGGCGTGTCTTGTTCCCAATTCTGTAGTCATGCTTCCTGGTGCTTTCGACGGGTTGTCGTCAGGAGCAGAGAAAATCTTAACTTTGAGCAGTTTTGAGTGATCAAGACAGAGGTTTTTGTGTAAAACTGCCTGCATGGTGAAACACTGAAGTAGGGAATTGGGTTGTGTAATGTTTAGGAGGTGAAATTCTGGTTTGATTGATTTCCAAGCAGACTACAGCGGAAATCAGAGTTTCCAAGATGAGAAGATGATACCATTGTAGTTGTCAAGGTAAACGACGCCAACTGACAGTCCACAATGTTCCTTTAATAGAAATTGCGTGCGGTCCTCTGAGAATCATCCTTGGCGTTACTGTGAAGGTATGTGATTTGAAAAAGAACACAACACCAACATAACAAACAGCGCTGATTCAGACTAGGTGGGAATTATTGGTTTAGTGGACGCTTGCATACCAGTAATAACAGTTATAAGCAAAAAAATGTCAATGGGATTGTGAAGTGTTGGTTTTCAGGGGATTGATTGATTGATTGATTGCTAATTGAAGTCATTTGGTGATGAATGCTGAGCATGAGTGGAGGATGAAGCTGCCTGTGGTTCTTCTATTTGGTTAGAGTGATGAGCGCAGGAAGATGCACGAAGTAGTTGGGTGTGAGGACTGACTGACTGAATGATAATCGTTGTTGACATTACCTTGTGATGGCGGTGTATCGTGAATTGACAAAAGTCGTCAGAGAGTCCACAAGTTATTGAATTCCTTCCCTTCCTTGGACTGAATAGTACACTTACTGGCCTTGTTAACTTGTAGGTAGTCGCGTGGCTTTGTGATTTGTTATATTTTATGTGATGAGTGTGTACTACTCAGAGGGAGAGAGAAAACGTCCCAGACAACCATGAATCAGCTCTGTCAAGTCCTCCGCGTTGGTTTTCACTGGCTATCGTCTAATCGAAGTCAGCCAATTTGTGATCGATTGAATTGCTTTGAATTTGAAATGTTGTTGTGAGTGGTTAACACCTTCTTTGTTGCATATATTTGTCTTATGCATTTATCTGTGATTTTTCATAGTTATTTATTGATTTTTATTTTAAATTATTGATTTGTGTTTCAGGAATATCAAGGAGTAGTGGATTTACTAGTGAAAGATAATAAGAAAATGCAGGCAACAGTGGAAGAAGTACAGGCACAGTTAGCTGAACATCATTCACAGGTGGTGAGAAGGAAGTTGTTATTGAATAACAGGAAGAAGGTAAATCACACACACACATTTATATATATATATATGTATATATATTTGTATAATACTCTCCCCCAGCGTGTGTTGTTAGCTTTTGTGTTATACTCCACCGATTATAGTTTAGTTTAACGATGATAATAATAAGACGGGGATTAAGAACAGCAACAACTGTCTTTTACAGTTACTCGTTGTTTGAATTGAATTCCCAGAAGGAGTTTTCCATATTCCATGTGACTGTGTGCCGCCCGCCACACTTGTTCTATGAGAAAGAGAGAGAGACAGAGAGCTGATGATACTACCGAGTTAGTTGGTCAGGTTAGGTTGCACCAAAGTAGGTGGTGGAGTGGGATTCGAAGTGTGAAAGCCTTCTGTGAGTGGAAGTCATGTAGTGAAACCAATGAGCTGCCACGTCTCCACATTGTTATTTGACTTTGTCTGTCTATCTGCCTGTCTCTCTCTCTCTCTTTGTGTTGAGCTAATGTAATCGACCCTTCCGCTCGATTAAATTGTCAACGGGTGTTTGAAAAGCAGGGAAGACTGGATGGATAGCTGTCTCGTCGTCGTGCGTTATTTGGGGACAGTTCAGCAGTAGTAGTGCACGCACGCACAATGCATGCTCCTAGGTGTCTATGCTACCCAGGGTCTTCAGGTGACGAGTCCAGTGCTTTGATCATTCAACTATTGATTGTGGTTGCTTGACTGTTGTTGATAGATTTTGGCATTTGATGATGACTTTTGTCATCTTGTAACACCATCTTACCTGCCTTGAAGTCGAATGTCATCAATGGGTGTGTGATGTCTTACACTCACTCATAAAGGTATTCTTTTATTGGATAAGAATTGCTGTGTAATCCGTTATCCTAGTGATATTATTATTATTATTATCCATCTTTGTGAAAGAGTCTGTATTTTGTAACCATGTACTAATTATTGGATATATAGCTAGTCTGTTTATGGTTTGAAAATTCCTTGCATGAATATATCCACAGGAGTAAACACCTACACACCTGATTATATCATATGAAGTAGTATACTATAGCACTACGCATGAAACAGTCATACTAGAAATTAGAGGTGAGTTTGAAGATTGCTTCAAAGTGGGTTAAAATGTATCATCATTGGTATTTGATGAGGAAAAAAAATGAATAGTTCATCACTTGAGAACTATTTGCTTTCGTTATTCCTTGCGTTCGAAGTAGAACGGAACTAAAGAGTTTCAGGATAGTTGATGTTATTTATCTACGGGATGAGATGGTTACTACTAGGCTGTGACACTAGATCCTGTCTACTTTCCTGATTTACCGCCGACTACTTAACTAGGCGAGGTTTAAGATCTGTCTGTTTGGATTCAACATAGAACTTGACACCGAGGTGCAGCAGTTCGAGTTGCCACGTTCCAAATAGCCCACAAAGGTAGACAAGAAAATGAGTGAAGAGAATCAATAGAGTTTTGATAAGTGTAAGAGTGAAACAGAATGAGTAATGGTAGAAAGGAATATGAAAGATTACAGAGACTGAATACATCCGCGTAAGCCATTGACAACGATTTTGAGCCATGTCACCTATTGTCTCCAGCCATTGATTCTTGGAGTCCCGAGGGTGGGCCCCAACCCGGAAGTCTGCCTCTCCCTACCTGACTCAGTTTAACTGTTAAGGATTTCATGGATTGATGCCATGTTTTTGTTTAGCCACTGCTTACTCTTTTTCAACCTGCACCTATATCAGCTAGTATTGCCCGTCGGGGGAGGCGATGGTTAGGCATGCGCGAGGTTTAAGATGGCACTTGTGGTAACCTGCTCTTGTCTGCTTGTGGCTATCAAGCCTCCTGCCATTGAACTAACGAGTGGTCTGTCTTGTTTCTCCTGGCTGTCTTTCGCAGTTATACAAAGCTTACACTTTAGTGGGATTGAGATGAGACAATGTCTCTTGCTTGATGGAACAGTACAATAGTATGTGTTGTTCAGTGAGACCTCTTTTTTCTCTCGACAAAGAACGTTTTCTTTTTTGATTATAGCTTGATGTCACACCGTATTTTCAGTACAACTATGGAATTTTCAGTATGTGATATTGGTAGCCCAAATTTGCAGGGCAACCATATGTATCAAGTGTGCGTCGGTAGGGGATCGAACCCCGGACCATGTGCATGGTCGACGAGTCATAACCGCTGTGCACATTGTCATTCAATGTATACATTTTACTATCCTTTTCTGTATGATTTACCAACATTGTTTAATGATTTGTTCCCCTCCGTCTACCCCGTCTGCTTGCTAGGCACGTGAAACTGATGATGCAGATAGGTCAAAAAAGATTGACCAGTTTGTAGCTGAAGAAGAAACATTGCAGAAACAATTGTCTGGTATCACTCGAGGCAATTCATGCACGATGAGACAGATAAACAAAGAAGAGGAGGCACTTCAAGAGGTAAGCATAACTTTAAAATGTGTTAGTTTTCGGGGAGGGGGGTTGATTCCGAGTTCCATTTTATGAAACAGATTTGAGTTAGAGAAAAGATTGAAAAGCACCGGGAAGTAGTGAATGAACATCAGTTTCGCACTAGTTCTCAGTGACTGTGTGTCTGTCTGTTTTTGACATAGAACTTTGCAATGATGTGTAGCAGTTCAAGTCGCCACACTCCTTCCTTGTAGAACACAAACCAAGAGAAGAAATGCAAAGTAAAGACAGTAAACAGAGGTGTGAGACAAAGGAATAGTAATAACCAAGAACAATATAGTTTTATTGGGAATTGTAAGTCACAAGGATTGGATGCATCTGCACCAGTCATTGAGAACGATTTTGAGCCATATCACCGATTTTCCCCAGCCATTGGTTTTTACCGTCCCGAGGACTCCAACCAGGAAGTCTACACCTTCCTACATGATTGGCTTAAACTAACTGTTGTGGATTTCATTGACTGATGGAGCCAGGTTTTGGTTTGATCGCCGCTAGCAGTTTTCCAGCCTGACCCTATGTCAGCCAACATTGCTCGTCGAGGAATGCGATGACTAGGCATATGTAACACATGTCCTAACCATCTCAGTCCATGTAATTTCACAGTCTCGTCGACTGATTTCCCCTCCTTACCTAGCACTCGACGCCTAACCTCAATATTGCTCACCTTATTATACCACTTCACACGGGAGATAGAACGCAGACACCTATGATCAAAGACAGCTAATGTTTTCATGACTGAGTGATGACTCAGTCATTTCGTGATCTAACTTAACTTTAGAGGAATAACTCTACTAACTAATTGTCACTTTAATGTTTCCCCTGAAGAATAAGACAGACACCCACCGATTAGATTGTTGTTTGGTTTAGTATTGTTGCGGTCCTTTACAAATAGTCAGTATTTGCGGGTGTATTAGCTTCCCTGAACGCGCATTTAGAGTAAGACGAAATGTTTATGGATGGTTTTACTTGTCAGTGTGTATGTAGAAATTAGTTTACAGTCGGTCAGTCATGAAAGTGATGATTTTTGTGAAAGCAAAGGACATCATCATGTGTGATAATAAATTTGTATTCACCGGATTTAGCATGAATATCCTTGTGGTCAACATTGACGCTTAATATGAAGGATAATGCCGGGTGGAATGGGGATGAGCACGTTGAACACATCACTTGTTGTTTGGGTTACTGTTGATACTCCCTCACATTTGTGGTCCTTGTATTTGGTGTTTACTCGTGGTTTTCTTGTAATCTTGTAAACTGTGTGATTTATACTGGATGTGTCACTCACGCCGTCTACGCACTCGCGTGTGTTGTCCTCTAACGAATTCCGGAAAGGGACTGTTTATTCAGGCTTATATTCTTCAATATTCTGAAACGGCGACTGTTAACCAGCGATAAAAACACAATTGAGTTTTCAGTCAATTCATTTGTGTGTGTGTGTATGTTCCTCCTCCTGTCATGCATGCATGCATGTATAGCTGGAAAATTATTTCTTTTATTCCTTTCCTCTTTCTATATAGGTTTCAAAATGTCGAATTTCCTTTGAAGAACTGAACGAAGTACTACTTGATATAAACCACATTGTAGAGAGAATTTCTTCGTCAAGATGAAAATGGTTGTCATCTCTGATTGAAGTTCTATGCACTTTTGACGTCGTCCTTCTAATTCTCTTCAACATGTGTACAGTGAAATGTTATTGACTAACTGTAAATATTTCCTTGATGATTGTGTGTCTAACATAAATGTGGTTTAATATAAATAATAATAGTAATAATAGCTTTATTCCAAACTGTATTTGTGGTACAGGTATGGAATTTCCAGCGTGCATTACAATATTGCATCTAATTACCTCATAAATTTTATAAGATTTTAAAAACAAAAAGCAATAACAACAGGAAGAAAAAAAGATAAATGAAAGAAATAAAAAAGAACAGCATTGCATTCACATATTTAAACAATGCATCACAGGAATATGAAATATAAAATTAGTGTGTAACAGAAGATGTGAACAACAATATAATAGTAACACAGAAAGGAAAACAAAAACTATTGGGACTAATTGTTAAATTGCCGCAGTAAGTCGATCGTGTCATACCCCTAACGGATTTCTTATCACATAACAGCTGTGTCAGATAAGGTATTGTGGAGTTTTTTACTTGGAAGTCCTAGCATATAGCCTCCTATAGCTGCTTCTAGTTCTACCAGATGAAATGCAAGGAGAGAGCTGAGTATAGAGAGGATGCTCAGGGTCTGACAATATAGCATTCGCTAGTTTCTTACATGACATTATATGTCTATCCACAATGGTGTTAACCAGTTGGTTTAACGATATCCCACTTGCCCTAGTAGAACTTTTAGTGGCCTCCTCAGCAAAGCAAAATCTTTCTTCAGAAGTCCACGAAAGATTAATGGGGAGCAGTAAAGAGGGATGGGTAGAATACAAGAATTGACAAACTGAGAAAGCAAAGACTGCTTTATGCCAGACTGCCTTAATTTCCTAATGTAGAACGTTGAGCGAAGCATCTTTCTAGTAACTAGCAAGATGTGAGAGGACCAGGAAAGATCGGAGGAAATACTCAGTCCAAGGTACTTGACATTAAATGTAATTTCAGCCTCTATGCCGTCAATGATAGTGGGGCCATGTGAGCTAGCTAGTTGTTGTAGGTCATGTTTTCGTCTGAAAGTGAAATTGACTCCCTGACATTTAGACGGATTTAGCCTACGACTGTTTGAAGAGGACCACTGACTAATTTCCGACAGAAAGTAATTTAATTTGGAACAGTCTGACTGAGAGTTGACAGGCATGGAAACAGAGAGGTTATCAGCATACTTGACGAAAGTGGCTACATCAGAATGGAGCAAGTCATGTAAGAAAAAAGAAAACAGAAAAGGAGAAAGAACAGGACCTTGAGGAACACCAGATAAAGTAAGTGAGGTAGGTAGTGGAGGACTTTCCACTGTAGACGGTGCACTGCTTCCTATCAGAAAAATAGGAATGCAACCACTTATTTGTTCAGCTCTCACTCTGTGTTGCAGCGAGCTTACTTAGCAAGAGAGACCTAGGTACAGAGTCAAATGCAGACGTGTAATCAAGGAAGGCACACACACCTAACGTATTTAACTCCTCTATCTAAACTAGAGACTATATTATGATATAGAACAGCAGCGGCATCTAAGGTACACCTATCTACTCTGTTTATAAGCAAACTGGTTGGGGTCATTGAAAGGCTTTACAAAGGGTTCAAGATTAAGTAGAATAAGTTTTTCCATAACTTTTAAAAAATGTGAGTTAATAGCAATCGGTCGAAACTTTACAGTAGGTCCACTTGTTGATTTAGGCACTGGAACAACCTTAATATTTTTCTATGAGTCAGAGTTAATACTTTTGGAAAAAGATTCATTGAAAATCTCGGTTAATGGGTAACATAAGATGTCAGCACAACCCGTTGTTTACTGTTGAATTTCTTGAAATACTACTGCTGCTTCCGCGACACCACCACAACCAACAAAGGATCTCGAAAAAAAACGTGATTGTTCAAGTTCTTTCGCCTAGTGATCGTGAGAATAGAACGCAGGTGTACATTGCTGCTATCTGACTTGAGTTCAGTTGTCGCACTGTTAATTTTGTTGGATTGTGATAGATACCTAAGAGACTTCAACGAGGGTATCCTGTGTCTATCAAGCTGACAGTTGCCTACTTGTGTAATTGTCTGCCTTCTGGATTAGTCCTACACTCGCCTTTATTCAAGTTTTTCGGGGATATGATGTCCTAGTGCGTATAAAGCATCCCATTTCTGACATTACTTTACAATCTTATCGACTGATATACTACTTGCCTTGCATTCTACGCATAACTGACTTGAACATGTCTAACTCTGACTTACTTCATCACGGGAATACTGTAATAGGCAGTTAGCTATTTACGTTGATTGAATGCTGAGCAGGGATGTCGTAGTAGAATTCTCCACATTTGTGAGCGCTTCCTGTATGATTCATATTATTACTCCAAACCTACCCATATAGTAAATCGTCAGCTGTGTAAAACGATTCCGGGTTTTGTGACCAGTTAGTTGTGCTTGAATTCACTGATACTTTCCACCTGGGGGGGGGGGCGGGGGTTGGTTACGGTTTCTCAAAGTTGTGTATCATAAGCCTCATGAAGGTCGGCGGCGACCTGCTAAATATCCCATCCTTTATCATCGATGACTCCAGCCAGGTTGTGGCTATATATGGTAAAAATGGTGTAATGTCATCATGGGAATTGTGAGACTGGTGTTGAATGGAGGCAACTGTGGCTTGTTGGCACTCGTCAATAAGCAAGGGGTATCTATGATCTTGAAGTAATTGATATCCCTTCTGGGATTCGAACTAGTAGTGCTGTAGTCAGAGAGATCAATTACTGAACTGTTCGAGCTCACAATTGACTCTCTGTGGGACTGTAATGGATATATTGATTATTAGTCAGTCAAGAGTAACCAGTGTCATGCATGTGCAGTGCTTGGTGTTGTCGCTGACTGCTGGATTCTGTTAGTCTAGTTTGCAATGTGGTCACTATGGTTAAGTGGTTCGCCATCGCTCTTCATTCTAAAATTGATGGTAGATGGTTGCTCAGGGATGATTCCGAATAACTCACTGGTGGTTTCTTTGATTGTGTAAGACTGGGCGACGAGAGTTCGTATCTGAGATGCGATATGAATTGCATAAATGTTGAGTATTTAAATATTCCCATTTTTAGAACAAGACATATAAGCGAACAATATTGTTGTTTTCAATTAGATGTTCTTCAGGCTTTACTCTAATTTACATAGATTTATATATATAAAAAATTTTAACCAATGACGGTGATTTTGTGGACTGGAACAATCCTAGTCTTCGCATACAAAAGAAGTTTGTTCTGCCTTTATCTCTCCCTTGGCCTAGGTGAATTCTATTCAAAACCCTCCCACCCTTTCTTATTTTCCACCTCCTTCGTATTTTTATGATATTTATTTGAACTATGATTATCTGTCCACTTCACCTTTAGTATTACGTAAATTTTAAGATTTGACCTAATTTATTTATTTAATTGTCTACATATACACATATTACTACCTTTGTTATTCTTATCGCCACCTGCATAAACCTTATTATCAATATTTTGTTATCATTATAATCATCGTTATTAACGACGTTCAAAATATCTACCACATTATTATTATAATTATTATTTGATCCACAAAATCACCGTCATTGGTTAAAATTTTACATATAAGTCTATGTAAACTAGAGTAAAGCCTGAAGAAGATCTAATTGAAAACAACAATATTGTTCGCTTATATGTCTTGTTCTAATAAATGTTGAAGCCACATTTTTGTGATGAATGCGAAGAAGCATAGAACCTGGTTACGTAGTGGGGGAGGGGGGGTTGTGCTGATTGCTTCCAACCGTTTAATATCAGTGGAAAGTTGGATGTGATGGCAACTCAGCTAGTAAGTACATTGCAAACTTTAAAATGATGCGACTCAGTTTGCACTTTCTGATGGTGTAGGACTTTACACGAGTTAACAGATCGTCGTCTCACAGTGCTTATTGAATGGTGTTCTTCAGACATCCCTAGTGTGCAACTGTTTTCTTTCACTCTATAAGATAGGCGTACTCATATATGGGGATATAGTTTTCCTCGATCTTTCAGAAAGTAACTAGCTGGTCCGAAAAGTACTCATTAATCTAAGCACACCGGCGGTAATTTGAAGAGGATACAGAAATTCATTGATTAAACAGAATAGGACATAGCACTACAATAATAATCATTGCTTTGGAAAAGTGTTGAATATTTAGGAAACAATAAACATCTCGAATAGATTCCTTACGGAAAATTGAGTCACTTTTGCTTCTTCTTCCTATGAGTTGAGTATGCTAACAGTACTGGATCGTTAGTGAACATAAATTATTACATGAGGGTGGGTGAAGACATGACTTATTGATTGGTTTAGGTGGTCTATTTTCAGCCGACGGCATCTGTGGTGAAATACGGATCTACTCACTGCGTAGTATCATCAGCCCTCCTCCCCTCACACACACACACACACACGATAAGCGTCGTTTGTACCTTGGTATACGAATTCCCTACTTAGGATAGGTGAGTTCAAATAAAATTGATCGAATGAGAATTAATGATTTCTATGGGCTAAAGAAATATGAGTACTCCGAAAGACGACTAGACTCCCTTACCCTGCATCTGTATTGAAGAAAATCTCTGTTAATCCCTTGCGTATTAGATTTGAGTTTCAAAGCAAACATTTCTACCCAGTAGAATGTGAGTACACCCAGTTTAAGAGTCACATAATACAGTAGTCAAACAGCATGTCAGTTTGTACTTGTCAAATGAGAAACTGTAACGTTTTGTTGTAAATGAATTAGCAAGTGATTTTTACAGTGAGTACTAACTGCAACTTGTCCACGGGAGTACACAAGATTCCTGAAGTAAACTTAAGTATACAGCAGCACTAACAAAAGTATAATTAAACATGGTCAGGAACTCATTTCAGTTAGAGAAGCATTGCAAACCAGCTGGAGGATACTTACTGGACAGCTGTTTCGTCCTAGTTTGGAACTCACTGGCAGATTGCAC